AATTGCAGAGCCACTGGCTTTTCTTAAAGCTGGGCACTATATTTGCCCTTTTCCAGACGTCCGGGACCTCCCCTGATCACCACACCTTTTCAAAGATAATGATCTTTGAAAACGCGTGGTGATCAGGGAAGGTCCTGGATGATTGGAAAAGGGCAAATATAGTGCCCAGCTTTAAGAAAGGGAAGAGGAGGATCCAGGGAACTACAGACCAGTCAGCCTCACCTCAGTCCCTGGAAAAATCATAGATATCCTCAAGGAATCCATTTCTAAGCACTTGGAGGAGAAGGTGATTAGGAACAGTCAGCATGGATTCACCAAGGGGAAGTAATGCCTGACCAACCTGATTGCCTTCTATGATGAGATGCCTGTTTCTGTGGATGCAGGGAAAGCAGTGGATATGACATACCTTGACTTTAGCAAGGCTTTTGATAGGAAGTATGGGATGCATTAATGGACTGTAAGGTAAATAGAAAGCTGGCTGGATTGTCAGGCTCAACAGGAAGCAATCAATGGGTCAATCAGTAGTTGGCAGCTGGTATCAAGTAGAGTCCCCCAGGGGTCAGTCCTGGGGCCAGTTTTGTTCAACATCTTCATCAGTGATCTGGAAGGCGGGATGGAGTGCACCCTCAGCAAGTTCACATATGACACCAAGCTGCGGAGTGGGGGATGTAGTAGATACTCTGGAGGGTAGGGTTAGGATTCAGAGGGACCCAGAAAAATTGGAGGATTGGGCCAAAAGAAATCTCATGAGGTTCAACAAGGACAAGTGCAAAGTCCTGCACTTAGGATGGAGCAATCCCATGCACCGGTACAGGCTTGGGACCAACTAGCTAAGCAGCAGCTCTGCAGAAAAGGACCCGAGTGTTACAGTGGACAATAAGCAGAATATGAGCTAACAGTGTGCCATTGTTTCCAAGAAGGCTAATGGTACACTGGGCTGCATTAGTAGAAGCATTGCCAGCAGATCAAGGGAAGTGATTATTCACCTCTATTCTGTAGTGGTGAGGCCACATCTGGAGTACTGTGTTTAGTTTTGGGCCCCCCACTACAGAAAGGATATGGACAAGTTGGAGAGAGTCCAGTGGAGAGCAATGAAAATGATAAGGGGGCCGGGACACATGACTTACGAGGAGAGGGTGAGGGAACTGGGTTTATTTAGTCTGCAGAAGAGAAGACTGAGGGTGGATTTGATAGCAACCTTCAACTCCCTGAAGGGTGTTTCCAAAGAGGATGGAGCTGTATTGTTCTCAGTGATGGCAGATGACAGAACAAGGAGCAAGGGCTGAAGTTGTAGCAAGGGAGGTTTAAGTTGGATATTAGGAAAAACTTTTTCATGAGGAGGGTAGTAAAGCACTAGAACAGGTTACCCAGAGAGATGGTGGATTCTCCATTCTTAGAGGTTTTTAAGACCTGGCTTGACAAAGCCTTGGCTGGGCTGATCTAGCTGGAGCAGGTCTTACTTGGAGCAGGGGGTTGGACTAGATGACCTCCTGAGGTCCCTTCCAACCCTAATTTTGTATGATTCCATGATTCCACATCATCATCATCCAGCCACTTCTTAATTACACTGGTTTGAGGGCTATACACAGTGAAGTAAATATGTTGTGTGCCCAAGCCCATTGACAGCATTTTCAGTGAATGGATACACTTCACTGAAGCCTCATTGAGGACTACAGACCTTCTCAGCTCTGACTGCTTTTTGGCAGTGAAAGGTAGACGGAGAACAAGAGAGCAGAAGGCTAAAAATATCACCTACTAATAGCAGAAGAAAGAGGCTGCCATCCACATATATCAGTCCCTGGATCCTCAAAGGGAATCCAGAGTTCTGTGAAATTTAGGCACCTAAATACCTTTGAGAACTTCGCTGTCATTGAGCATCAAGGCATAAGAAGCTCCCTCTGGTTGAAGGTGGCTGAAAGAAATGGGTAGGTTCAAATGCAAGGAGCTCTGTTGCCAAACCCACCCTCCTCCCTTATTTCTGTTAAAAAGACTAAGGGCAGATTTCCCACTGGTGTCAATGAGAACAGTAAGATGCCCATTGATGTTGACAGCAGCAAAGTTCAGTCATCACTGAGCCCTGCCAAAAATCCCACCCTTGTGCAATGAGAAAAATAGAGAGCAGTAAAACCGGAGTTAACATGTGGAGAGGTAATTCATAAGGTAATTCATTCAAAGTAATTCATAAGGATGAATGTCACCACTGTGTCCACTTACGGACTAGCCATGGCTGGATTGATGATTCCTCAGATTTATTTAGTATTCAACCCATGTACTTTAAAACCCTAAGAACTGAGTGCAAGGAGTTCCCCATAAGCTTGGATTCATGCGATTAGTCACAGCAGTCACATTGTACTGTGTCTATTTTCTGACGAGAAGCAGATGGAAGCTTTACTGATGCTGTGCTCACAACAGGGTGAAACTCCTCCCTGCTCAGAAAAGCTTACATACTCTTGATGTCCTACTTAAGTCCTTTACAGTAGGACTTCAATGGTGCATGGGACCTGTGTTGATGGGCTTCGCTGGTGCATGACCCCTGTGCTGTCTCCCTACAAAGAAGTGAATTTCACCCAAGACAGAATTTAAGATGCCGTTTCCCTGCATGCTCATGCATAAGTCTTTGAAATTAACTTTCTGTGAACATCTGTGGAGTTTTGCAAGAAGCAACCATAAATAGAGATGAAGATCAAAGTGGATGCTTTCAAAAATACAAGACACAAAACCGGTGTAATTTGGCATAACTCCACTTAAAGTCGTGGGCTTATAGAACTATGACAGCTGAGGACTGGGCCTCAAATAAATAGCCATAGTGCATTACCGTTCTGGTATTCACCTGGCTCTATCATGATAATAATATTTCAGCAGAAAACAAATGTCAATAGCGGGGAGAGGGAAAATGATCAGGCTTATTTTGTCATTTTTATTGAGTGCAATTTTCTCTTTAGTACAATATTCTCTGAAAGGTACTGTTACAAACTCCGACAATTTCAACACAATCAACAAATCGGGGAAAAAAATTACAATGGGGCGAAATCTTTTACAGACATCTCATTGGCTATGTACAGGACAGGGTATCTGCCAACCGGCACAGTGCATGCTGCTGAGGTGGTGGCTCCCATAGCTTCTGCTCACTGGGGCAGAGCGAGTCCTCAGCACGAGAGCCTGACATTGCTGTGGAGAGGTCAAAGTTCATCTTGTGGAGCATGGTGGTGGGGTGCCTTGCCAGTGAAAAAGGAAGAGGGCTGTGTGACGGTGAGCCTTCCTGTCAGGATTGTCCTGTATCCATTTCCTTGTGGGATGGATTACTGAAGTAATGCCCCTATAAGGGAAAAGATAAGAGGTGAGTTTATTTTAAGGAAAAGAAGAAAAGCAGGCCTTCCCATCACTAATGCCATGGCAACATGGAAGAGAGCATCAAAGCGCAGCTAAGAGATGGCATGCCCCCTGGGCACTGGCTAGCGTGCTGGCACTAGAAGCAGCAATTTCTGTAGGTTTGCAGTCATGTACAGAAGTCTTCCTGGGCTGCAGGGTTTAAAAGCAATCACAGCTGCATGCCACATTCAGTAAAAATGTGTGCTGACTCCTTAGGTTCACGTGTCATGGTAAAACTCACCAGCCTGCATGAATTCCCAACCTGTTGCATCTTCATCCTGACCACTCAGCTGGGAATTTCTTGCAAAGACAATGACCATGGACATAGTTTAATGTTGAACTGACCCAACGGAAGACACAGGACTTTTGTTAATTATCATGAATTCATTTTATCTACATAGTAAAACCCAAGTCCCTTGGTAATTTTAGCCGTTGGAGATATTAAATATATCAGGGACCTGCTGCGTGAGCATAGAATTGATGGAGCCAAACTTTTTTTTTTTTAAATGATAAATGGTTTCTTAAGAAAATGGAAGTTTTTATTTTAAAAAGATCCATTCTCCTCAACTTCTAGGGAGTTCTGGCACAAAGAGCAAGCCTGAGACAAAGAGCTGTAGGAATACCTCCCTTCAAACATCTGACAAAATAAGCTGCTTGTTTTCGGCATTTTTTTTTCACATTTGAAAAATCATATGCTTCCATGGAAACAGGTCTTGGTTGCAACTATAGTCCATTTCCTATAGGTCTTACAGTCCCATAGATGTGGCACCAGAGGTGCATGAGAAAGGTGGGGAAGGAGAAAGGACATGGATGGCAATGGGATATTCTAAGTAATTCATGACAGTTACAGGTCCATCAGAAGCTGTAGTCCCAGGGATCACAAGAGAAGGAGAAACCCCCCTGCCTCCTGATATTCTGGCCAACCGCATCATATAATCCTTTTTCACAAAGGATTCACAAAGGTATGTCCACACCTTGAATATTATGGCCAGCTCTGGTCCCCACATCACAAACAGGAGATAGTAGAACTGGAGAAGATCCAGAGAAGGGTAACAAGCATAGATAATGGTATGGAGGGGCTTCCAAATAAGGAAAGACTTAATAGGGTAGGCCTATCCAGTTTAGAAAAGAGACACTTGAGGGGGGACATGATAAGGGTTTACAAAATACTAAATGGTAAAGAGAAAGTCAAAAGAAATTATTTATTCTCTCTTACAATACAAGAAGTAGGGGTCATAAAATGCAACTAGTAGATAGGAAGCTTAAAACAAACAAAAGGAATTTTTGAAGCTTTTCCCCATGCATAAAGGTGACCCCCCCAAAAAAATGCCTGCTACAGTGCTTGTAGAAAGCTGAAAAGAAGGCAATTGAGACTGGCTTTGTTGACAGAAAGAAGGTTGGAGGTGGTAAGAAAACAGCATAGCCAGATAGGGTAAGGGCTTTGAAAGTTAAGATAGGGAGTTACTGTTTGATGGGATGGAACAGAAGAATAAAATGAAGAGATAAAGAGAGGTGATAGACAGAGAGGAAGATGGTCCTAAATAGCAGCAGCCTGAATAGTATGGAAGGGATGTTGGGTATACTGATGCCCCAAGATGACTGGAGCCTTAATGACTTTTCAGGAATCGGATGTTATAGCAAGACAGAGACACGATGAGTGATAAACAGGACTGGCTGTACAGTGATGTTTGCTTCTCATTACGAATATGGTGTTTTTCTACATTTTTCTTTTTTTCAACTTCTTGTGAAAAAGGAAACCAACTTTCTTGTTATTTTCAAAAGCTGATCCCGCCCCCCGGCTTTGTTTCTCAAGGGAACTGCAGAAGAATAATGTTAGGGGGAGGGGAAGACATATTCTGGCAAAGAATCCTTCCAAATAAAAGTTCACAAAAGTTTTTGTTAGAAACTGCAGACAAGGCTTGTGATCTAACCCTCTGCCCTAAGTAAGGGGTACTGCCCTGCCAGGGGGACTTAGCAGGCATCAAGAGCATGATTTCAAGAGCTGCCATGTTCCTGGCATGGCTCACCTTGCCCTTCGTACAGGTTCACCGTGGGGTGAAGCCAAGTGTCTACTTGATCATACACAGTCTCTATCTTGCTGCTTGGCCCAGCTGTGTGGTTCCTCGTGACAGAGAGACAAACACATAGGTGTAGAAGCCCCCATAACTCCCATATAGCCCCTTTTAAATGGACAGCAAAGCCCACAATCTCAGCCTAGATGATCAAGCCAGTTAAAGCAGAACAAAAGGGGTTCAAAGGAAACCACACCCCTTATCCTCCACCCACATAGTGCCACTAGCAGAATCCTTTATGCTATGTTGCAAGGAAGTTTTGATGCAGGACATTTCTTGCCACTAATAGATGCCTCTTTCTCTCCGTAGACGCAACATGACAACTTGAATTCTCCTCCTCCTCTCCTCTGGTTTTATTCTAGGCTGGGGTAATTACCCCTGGCTTTCACATCTGTGCTAGAGATTAGCTCCAGCTCTTGGCTGTGTTAGCTGAAATCTATGCCCCAGGCAGTGGAGTTAATAAGAGGAGAATTGACACTTCTATTGCTCTAATGCCAGCATGAACCATAACTTTAATAAAACCAGGTTTGCTTAATGTTGCAGTAGTAATAACCCCTGCCCAAATGCTGCCTCTTTTCCCGCTGCCTTTCATCTGCACTGCATGGCTCAATCAGAGTCTTTATAGGAACCTGAATTACCTCTTTCTCCCCTCCCCTTTTTTTTTTTTACATCTTACTGGGACTTCCAGGCTTAAATGACACACACAGTGTCTGCTCAACCCAACAAGGATTTTTTCAGTGGACAGATCTGCTGTAGGTGTGCTAGAGGCGAGGAGTGCATTTCACATGAACAACAGATAAGTGGGTTTAGGCTCTATGTGGCTCTGGAGTTCACAGCTGTTTGGATCTAGGCCTTTGGTCTAGACCCATCATGCATAACAGTGAGCAGTCACCGCAGCTGCAAACCAGCAAGAAAGACTGCTGCCTGCACCCAACAAAGGCACAACTCCACTGCCAGGATAGGCTGATGCTGCCCCTGAAGTTCAAGTTCTCTCTCCTTGTTGTCGACAGGTTGTATGAACAAGAAGAAAACTGTGCTGTTAAGGCCAGCAGAGAAAGCCCATCTTGAGCATCCACGAGATGGATATGTCCTGCTCTGTCCACATAAGCAATCCCCAATGTTGGTTCCAGCAGGGACAGAACCATGACTTCCATCACCCGCTACATGAGCCTTCACCACCTAAGCTAAAGGAACAGCATGGCTAAGCTGCCAGCAGCCGACTCTTATCCTCCCAATTGGCCAGTTGCTAAAAAAGATATTATCCCACACATGCAGTTTTGGAAACTCTCTCAACAGGTGCAGGACTCTCCCTCTCTCCCCTCTCTTGCCCCAGTAGGTGTAATTGGAGGATGTGGTGAATCACTTATCTAAGAAAAAGAAAAACAGCTCATGGCACCTGATTTGAAAAGAATGTAGGAACCTGCGAGTTGGTTTGGAAGGAGAGGATGCTGTAGTGGGCACAGGGCAAGCTATGTGGTTACATGCAAATGTTGAGTTCATTTCTCACGTAGCTTGACCATTTTTCATGTAGATTTCTTCTCTTGGACACTGACCACGTGTGAATGCCAAAAATTTAGTACATAGAGGAAGATTTCCAATACAGCCAGGGGCCATCCTGACCACAGGTATTAGCTACCAACGTCTCATCCTCAACCACCAAGCTCCTTTTGGCATTGTGGAAGTCCAAGTCATGAAACATGGTTTCCCTTATTCAAGGCTACTGATCTGAATGAGATAAAGTCTAACCACAATAACCACCAGGCGGGGCTGGCCTGATTTACCAGTCCTGCCCAAAAGGCAAGTAGCCCAGGTATGGGGGTAAGATCTGTGCACTGATGAAAGTGGGGATGTGATGTTTTAGCCAAGGAGTCTCTTTCTGTGTCTGTTTGGCATAGCCCTGGGCTAGATTTTGGTGCCCATTTTAACTGATCTAAGGACAACGCCTCGTGAAGGAAAAGAACCAAAGCTCAATACTGATATGTATCTGGAAAGGACTCCAGCTGTTAACTCTGAAGAGGAGGAAGACCCAGATGGCATTTCTATGCCCACCTGGATTGGAACAGCCCCCATGAATAGAAGAGAAGGAGGCGAAACCAGCTTTCTGGCTTCATCTTTACTGAAATCAGGGCGTGGGCACAGAGGTAAACCTGAGCTCAATCTCTGGCCATATTTAGAACAGATTCGGGACACCATGTACTGATGGAGACAACCCCACAGCCTCCCCGCAAGAAATCCTCTGTGTGCCCCTAAGGGGAATGGCAAGTTAAATGAGATTTTTTGTTCTCCCAGAGACTGCCTCTTTGAACATGAAAATGGCATGTTTCCTTCGCCAGTGGTGGGAAAGCGTGGAGGACTCTGTCATAAAAAGAGCAGCCCTAGGAGCGCCTCCTACTCACACTGAAACTGAGAAGTGCTGCACAGCAGCAAAATCCCATTATTCAGTCACTTCAGGGGGGCCAAGAAGCTTTTAATGTACAATTGCACCTTCGAAACACAAAAGCCGCCACATTAAATAACAAAGCAATTGACCGCTGCGTCCCCTTGCTTGGCTACTGATAACTGGGAATCGCCAACATAATTATACCAGGGCATCTGTACTACTGTCCTAACACACTGATGCTTTTTTAAAACATTCCAGCTGTGCCTGACATTTTACTCCTATTAAAATTCATCATTGCACTGAATAAAAAATCATTTTAGCAAACCTAGGTAGTAATGAAACTTTTATTTAGTAATCTGGAGTTCAGCAGAACAAAGGCTAGCCAGTTGAGGTGAGAAAGCGAGAGCGGTGAGAGAGAAATTGAAATTGCTTAAAAGGATGGCTTCAGTGGAAGGAAATACAGAGATCTGTGTATTTCTTGCACACTTGGTTCCA